CCCCCCCCCCTTCAATTATAAATATCTTGACTTCTATTTAAGATAGATTGGTATTTTTTTCTCCCTGAAAGCAAAGCAAATAAATAAGCTTTCAGATAATACCAATGACTCGACATGCCCAAAGTTGACACCTCGTGACACAATTTATCTCACAACGGGCTTTTTTTTAAATGTGGCTATCTCTTGGGGGTCTGGTCCCGCCACCCTAGCTCCTACTTGGTCCCTGCCCTTAAGGTATGTGACTCCACGTAGCATCCATATAGAGATTGGTAAACACAGCTACAGAAATAATAAATCTACATTGCTATAACACATCATTAATCTATATTACTACTACTACTACACATAATGAATCTATATATCGCTATAACACATAATAAATCTACTTTGCTACAATACATAGTAAATCTATATTGCTACCACACAGTCATAATAAATTTATATTGCTACAACACATAATTAATCTTTACTGCTAATACACATCATTAATCTAATATTGCTGCAGCACATAATTAATCTCTATTGCTACAACATATTATAATAAATCTACTGAGTCTACTGTTTCTTGATGATGTGAGGGGAATAAACTAATTATATTTTACATGGTAGATGACTTCACTTTTGATGTATATTTTTCATATCAAACGCTTTGGGTGAAAAACAGAAGACGAGATTACAGTCAGTGTGCAATGCAGTATTCCGCTTTTGCAATGAAGAAAGCGAAATTCCACTAGGAAACTATATCGGGACAATTTTAACTTCTGCTACAAGATTTCAAGAGAGATCAACTTACCTTAACTCTTCACTACGTGCAGTCAAACGATCATCCAGGCGGGAAAATGCAGATAGACATATCGGAATCCCATCACTGGTGCGTATAATGGTCACTGCGCAAAAAACACAAGGGGAATGTCTTTTCCAACAATAGTAGTAGATTGTATTTCAGTCGTGCAAACCCTCGCTCAGCAGCAAGCTCGACGCACTTCACAATCTCCCAAGCTGATCTGATTGCTGACTAAAACAATCTCATCTTCCCGGGAAGCATACAGTGCAAATAAAACATATATTGCGACATCCCTGGTAAAAACCCACGAGGTCGGACGTTATGGTGGTTGAGTGGATAGAGCAGGCGACCTGATGGGGATCCTCACTAGCCCGGAAGGACCC